ACGGCTTCCTCCACCATCAAGTTCATGAATCTAGTTTTAGTACAGATACCTAACCAATCCAATACCCGAAATGAAGACTTGGTTCGTCATTTGATTAAGCAGTCTTATCGACTTTACTTTAACCGGGATAAAACTAAAAAAGTAACTCCTAATCCTCCCAAAAGTCAGTATGCGCATACTCCTCCCAATCGGTCCTTCTGGTTAAAATGAGGTTCACTATAAACAATGTTCCATACACTTTAGAACATTGTATATACTATATTTCTCCGTGTATAATACGTACTTTCAAAGCCATATTTTAAGTCCAGAACAAAGGGGTGCGTACTACGCATTGGCATAGAAAACAATGCAAATAATATTATTCCATGCTTAACTGGTTAATAATTCTCACCCTAAGTGTTGTTATTTCATTTGTAAGAATTAGATCATGCTTGTTTCGGTAGAAGCATATCAATCCGACAAAATTTAGCTAGTAAAAGTATAGTCTCAATCAATTCATTAATTTAAGAGTCCGAAAAACAGTGAATTAATGTCGATAAGAACAGCTGTACATCCGCTAACTGCTGTCATTGTCTGGTCTGGCCGTTTCTTCCCTGTTCCGCCGAATCAGCAAAACTTCAGGGTGATAAATCACTATAGGTCACGCAAATTATTGACCAAATGGCGGTCTCTCCTTGAAGTGCGTGTCTAAAAACACACTCAGACGTCAGGCCTTATCAGCTTTTAAATAGATCAAAGACTAATAACAGCATGATACGAAAATATCGAATAACATCACATCGTAAATACACGAAACAACATATTAATTAGGAGAAATTCCTGGGCCCAGCTGTGCTAAAATACACATGCGTATTATCGGAACAACTCTTCCTGCAATTAAACCAATGGGACAGCACAAAAGTGCAAGTTTAGTCAAACATGATTTAATCATAAAAATACTGTTCTAGTAGACTGCATGTAAAAATAGTTCACGAAAATATATCAAACAGAACGAGTGACTGATGCAAAGGGTCGTCCATAAATGAACATAAACTGGACTACGGAAATTTGTCAGGATCAAACTTTGTCAGCTTGTGATGAAGCATTCAAGTTCTATAAATATATCTTTTAAGCATAATCATGCTTAATCGAGAGGTAAAAAAAAATATTAGTTTGTTTATGATAACTAAAATCAGTAACATTCTTTGATCTTCATCTAAAAAAAAACGCCACTCTTGATCTTTACAATTCCTAGCATACTTTAAAGCCAAGCTTTTAAATTGGGAACGTGCATCCAAATGACTATGTATTCAAGAGCTAGGTATATTTTCTAGCATAGCAGAGGGGCATGGGATATTCAGAGTCCTTAAAAAGTGGACAACAAAACATGATTAGATGAATTTTCTTCTGTGAACAAGCATGATCGTCAATGATAATGAAATAAACTCAGACATGAAATAAAAATACAGTAAAATGGCAACAAAAGCAGCTGAAGTATGATTGAAGATAAACGCAAATAATAAAATGATATTAACACAAACATAAATGATTTCATCTTGGATCTACATGAATTTGAAACCCATTAAGATAACTGGAGACCCAGATACAAGTTGAACACAGACATGAGCATTTCATAGAGCAAACATATTTCATTCTTGTAGTAATGACTTTGAAGTGATCAAAGATTTATAATGGAGGAATTTTAATAATATTTTTTTATCACATTTTTAGTCTTGGTCAGGCAAAAAAAAATAATAACTGTTTTGTATTAAGTTCTTCAAAAGCATCGAAATCTAGATTCTGTTAGAAATTTTTAGATCTATGTCAAAAACGTTTCTGTCTGTAACAAGATAAACTATAAACGACAATACATTGAAATGTAAAACTGCAGTCTTAAATTATTGGAAGTACAGTAGTATGTAGTAATAAAACGTTTCAATACTGAATAAAAAGAGGACTTACAGAACTGAAATACAAGGTAGATAGCTTCATATCATAACAATTAATTATTTTCTAATTCCACATTTCAAGTTGCAATTACCGTAACTTTGGAACTCAATAATCTTAACTAAATGTATTTATTTTGCAACATACCGGTAAGTATTATTTCGCAGCAGTAAAGAACAAAATTTTTTATGGGCATTTGTCACTCAGCATTCACTCACTCACTCAGCATTCACTCAGAAATAAAGCAAAGCTGCAGGCCACCACTGAGGCATCAAGAGCAACTGAGACTATAAAGAATTATAGGTGGAACAGCGCAATAGCAAATACAGATTCACGCAATATTAAAGCAGTCCATGTCAAAGTGATCACAAAGAAAAGCTACAAGAAGATAATTCGATACTCCTGTAGTATGTGTACCAGGTTAGGATTAGGCCATAATTTTATCCAGATTTCCCCAATTTCAGTTCTATTACAAGTTCTGTGACTGTCTGTGTTAGCCAAGTGAATACACCCCCTGCCCATAGGCTTCCATCCCTTTACACAACTTGATATAAACTGGGCAAACAAAATTAGTACCTTCATATTGGTACACATACCTATGTAGCGTCGATAATTCCACACGACTTAATTTCTATGAAAAAACTTCACGCATAAATTTTTTTGTCTGGTAGGTATACTGACAATAAACACGATTGTAGAGTCAAATTCATTACATTCGTTAGAATTCATGCAACATACGTAAAATTATAAACAGTATTACTTTCAAATTTGTATCATGGTTACATGGAAACATTTTGAAACAGAGTTTAGGATTTAGAATCTGAAGTTTTTGCTTGGGTTAAAGACTGAACCATGGACATATTTTCAGCTTCCAGCTGACTATAGTTAAAATGGGGCTCCCGAAGTAGGCGAACCAAGATGGCGTACATCGGAATGTAATATGTGTGCTAGGTTAGGGTTAGGCCATAATTTTAGGTATAAATACTACGGGAGGCTCTTGGCTAGTCTTCGAACTGATAATAGGACTAAAATAAGGAAAATTGGAAAAAAATCATCGCCTAACCCTAACCTGTTACCCATGTTACGTTCCGATGTCCGCCATCTTGGTTCGCATACTTCGGGAGCACCATTAAAATTTATAACTTCTATTAGCATATAGTCAGACCTCCAGATATTCAAAATTTCAACGTTGAAATTTTTTATTGAACAGGATAAAAAATTACAAACGTCAAATTTTTCCCCAAAAAATTGTTTTTTTGAAATCAATAATCGAACGTTTAGTCAGAATCAAAATTTAGTCGAAGAATTTTGACAGTTCAATGGAACTTTTCACCATATGACTGGAACAATGTTTTTGGGTTTTGTGAACTGTAGGTATTTATTTCATGTAGGTATATTTCACAAGTCCTGCTGCACACTAACACAAATGTAATTACCGTATTTATTCGAGTATAACGCGCAAAATTTTGAACTGAATTTTAGGCAAAAATCAATGCTGCGCGTTATACACGAGGTCTGAGAAATGTGGTATTGAAAATGTGGTTTTAAACATCTGAAACGTGCGTGCGCTCGCGCATGCACATTCCAACGCAGGATGATTTCGTGCAAGCACACGCACATGCGACAGCTCAGCATGCGTTTGACATTCCCGCTGCGTTGAGAATATTTATTTGCCATTATCGTACTGTACTGTAGATACCCATTATATATTACCCATCATCTATTATGGCAAGACATCCCATCCCATCATGGGAGGACATCCCAAAAGAAATGGTCATCAAAAGTTTTTTAAAGACGGGCATTAGCAATAGTATGGATGGTACAGAAGACGACTTGTTGTGGGATTCAAAATCAGGGTCAGAAGAAGAGGTTGAAAGTGATGTTCCCGCCGATTGGGACACTGATTTAAACATAACCCAAACAGAAATCGAACAGTTGTTTGGTGAATCAGAGACTGAATCCGATTTTGAAGAGTTTTGAATTACTGTGTGCTTTTAATAAATTTTTGTTCATGCTGTGAGTTGTTACCTTATGTGCTTACCAGTAGTTAGTAGAGAAAAAATAAAAAAAAGAATTTTATACCAATTTTCATTCAAAATTTAAAGGTGCGCGTTATACACGAGTGCGCGTTATAATTGAATAAATACGGTATGTATTTTTTGAGTTCCATCAGACGAAGCGTTGCAGAAATACATTTGTGTTAGTGTGCAGCAAGACTCTTGAATGAAATAGACTGGAGCCCGAGCCTCGAGCTGTGACATTTTGATGGAGCTGGTGTCCAGCTTACCATGTCAGATGCAGGTGGAACCAAAGCTACCAGAAATTCTATAGTGGCTCCTAACCACCTGATTATTTTTCAACATTTGATTAAAAATTGTTAAAAATTCTGATTTAATTAATAAATTGTTTAGTAGGTGGGGGGGGGGGGGGAATTATAAATAAGTAAATTCAAAAAAAAAAATAAAAATATGCCTCGAATAAGGTTTATCCATTTACCTCTTATTTTTAAATAAAGTTTTGTTCAATATTTGATGATAAAATGTAGTTCAATATGAAATGGTAACACAGATCAACATGCATGGGACATACAAGGCTCCAATATTTCTTTTCATTACTAGTTCGTGTATGGGTAAAGCATAAATGATTTTAATAACTACAAAACTTTATAATTATGAATAGCAATGATGAAAAGCAATGCAAATATAAATAATAATTCAGGGACTAAACAACAAAATGATTCTTCTAATCATGTCAGCTCTGTATCTGGCCTTTGACTAAAACAATCTATGTTTTAAATTTAAATCTTATATACTCTATGAAGAATTTTTTTTCCATTTTCAGGTTTACACACACTATGCAGCCGGATCTCAACCAATGGGCCATAATCCACTGCTGGACCAGAGAAATATTTTCAAGTGGGCCACAGCCCACAAGCCATTAGCTAGAATTATTGATAAATGATTTAAATTTACCTGTAGTAGCATCAAATAATGATGCTGTTTTTTTCTACTACGTGAGTGGTAATTTTAATTATTAAAGTGGATATGTCCATTTTCGCAGAAGATATTTTTTTCTTGTAGAGTTACCCTTGTTTTAAAAAGTTTATGGGCCACAAAATTTTTATGCAACGAATGTGGGCCATGACAGAAAAAAGGTAGAGAAATACTGCTCTAGGAAACCCGTAAACAAATCTCCGTATTTTAACTATATATATATATGTTTGTATAAATACAAATTACTATAAAAAACGAATGAATTCTCGCGGTGCTCAGAACTCTAAATATCTGAAGTTGAAATTAATCTGGGCCCAACCCAATCTCTGTTAAGTACGGATCTTGTGTAATCTGTGATAAAACATCTATGATGTGAAAATAAACACAGCCAGGAGCCACTCTCTTAGGCATATACTGCATGCAGCCTGTCTCTATTCTATTCAATGTCCACACTGGACTACATTGCTGTGTCTTCCGCAGTCCTTATATCTTGGTTGTTCCATCATTCGTGTTAATTCACTGGCATCAATGTACAGAACTACTGTTACCAGCCACCTGAGAACAAAGTTAGCTGTATAAATATTAAAAAAATAAGAGGGCTGTTTTAAAATAGATTTATATAGACATTAAGATCGCACACTGGCAGTAGTAAGGTCTCAGCTGAGCACAGAGTTTGTTAAATAGATTAACAGGTATGTGTGATGGAATAAAGTGTCCTCATAATATGTCGTAAAAAAGTTCTTATAAATTAAAATAAAAGAGAATTTGGGGTAAAATATCTAGTCTACTAAGATTCAAAAAAATTTGACAGAAAAAAAATAAAAGTCTGTTGAAGACTTCCATAGTTAATTACTTAAAAATTTGAACCTGATTGGTCCATTAGTTGTGTAGAAAACCAATTTTTTACAAACAACAAAATTAAGTAAGACAATCCATAGGTCTAGTTTACTTCGTGACCAACAAGAGAGCAGAGAACAAATGATATGGCCGCTAAATTACTTGACAAATATGAAAATATGCAATACTTGGAGTTTATCCTCCCAAACGAATATCTGGAATATTTTATGTGAAATATTTTGCGAAATAACTTTTGTTTCTGGGTGGAAAAATTACTTAATTTTACAGTCCAAATTCCAAATGATAAACAATTTTGCTATTCCATGAATATCCAACCCTATCATGATAAATTTACTATATTTGATATTTATCACTAACACAATTTCACATTATCCAATTAGTTTCAATTTCACTAGCGAGAGTGAATATGGCAGTTCAGACTGAATAAACTATCGAAGTAAAGAGGAAAGAGTATATGCTTCTCGGTAATCAGGGACAGAAGGGCTACTAAATATAAGCCAGTAAATAAAGAAAAAATGTACAATTTCACCAATTCAAAAGCCATATGCACTTCATTTTTCATATTGAAATTTATGTACATCATTGATGAAAACAAGACTTTACTTTGTTAGGATGCAAGTTCTTGAATAACAAGGGTATGGATCCCTTGCCAAAATTGTTAAGTTGAATAATTTAAACAGCGTACCAATTTTTTGATGAATTCGTCTGGTTCTCCGAAATTAGGTCGAGGATTATATGGGTCGTAACCCAGTTTCGATAACATTGGTGCAATCTTGGCCATATCTCTCTCAACATCTTCTGGAATGTGTCCGAACCAACTAGTCAATGCATCCAAATATAAAGGACGTTGAACTTGGTCCGTCGACTTTTCCAATCTTGCAGAAAAAATGATTTGAAAACAAAACCCGTTAGTAGCTTTAGAAAGTAACCTAAATTTGCATGAAAGTCTCTATTGAAAATGTTAAAATTATGAAAATACTTTTAGTAAATCTAATTTAATGAGAAATTGAGCCACTTTCTTTGAATAGATTGCTTCTTCGGTGGTTTTCAAGAGAAGGTATATATGGACAATCAGCTTATGCATGTCAAATTCCAGTTATTATAGTGCAGTGGTTCTTAAACTTTTTCGAGCGCGACCCAAATCTGAGTTTTATGAATACTCGCGACCCAATCCTAAATAACGCAAAATGTGTTTATAATGTTAGTACAGTTTGACTCAAATACAGACAACTATTTATTAGAAACAGTCCATTGACTCAGTGAGATTGATGAAACTGAAATTTCCTTTTCATTATATCTTCAATACACAGCTCTATTTTACTTAACGCAATACGCAAATTGTCACGGGTATCGAGGCGATTGCGAGCTTAGTTTTGTTAACCGTCAGTGCCAAATATCCTCGCTCGCATATGCCTTGTCGCGAATTGTAGCAGAAAAGGCGTCCGCTGTCCGTCGCAAACACGACATCCTAGCTGGCCTTCGGTATCTCTCGCAATATACAACTTTTTACTCATCAAATGTGCACGCACTGTTTCGTTCGCGGTAAATGGTGCCTCGAGATGAAGTCACATTTTCTCTAGATATTGAATAATCTAATGTCGAGAAGCGAGTTTTTTCATTGCGTCGTCTATTACAATTTACATTACCAAAAAGACACCCATTTTTGGTTATTTTAATCCACTAAGACAGTGCTCTTCAACCGGGTATACTGTATACCTAAGTGTATACCAGACCATTCGTGGGGTATACAACTGATAAAAGGTATACGAAGGGTATACAACTGATAAAGGGTATACGAAGGGTGTACACTGTATAGCCTAAACCCGGAATTGTAAGCTCTAATATAATAAATTATAAAATATTCAATTAGAGACAACAATGCAAACGCAACGCGAAATATAAAATGTCATTCACGCAATGAACCAACTTGAGCACATTGTTACATCACAAATTATGTAGATAATGCAGGCACCTGTCTGGGTTTTGATAATTCCGGCTGCCGTGCACGTCGCTTGATCTGCGGGAAAAAAATGAAACACGATGTTCTACGGGAAGTAGTATATTTTGTGAATACGATTAAGAAAAGTTCTAAACAAACGAGACTTTTCTCGAAACTGTGTAAAGAAACAGCCGCCACTTTCAAAAAACTTCTTCTACATTCAGAAGTACGGTGGCTGTCCCAAGGAAAGTTATTTCCCGTGTGTTTAAACTTCGCGAGCAATTAGGGGCGTATTACACTGAAAGAGGAGACCAAAAAGCCACCAAGTTTCGTAATATATATTGGGTTGCAAAACTAGCGTACATGGCGTCGATTTTTGATCGTTTTAAGCAAGTGAAAGTCAGTCTTCAAGGGAGAGGAGGTTATATATTTCGATCAACTAGCGAAATCAATGCTCTGAAGATGAAAATTCAACTCTGGTAAAACAATGCTTCTTCAGGAAACTTCATTGACTTTCCTCTTTTAAATCAATAGTTGAAAGAGTCTGGGTGGGAGTTTGAGGACGTTTCAACGATAAATACCATGTCTACCCTAATTGTTGGTCATTTGAACTTACTGGGTGATAAATTGGCTTTGTACTTTCCTGAAGATAATAACAGACGTCTGGAAGAAAACTCACGGATAATGCAGCCATTTACTAGTGAACCAACAAAAGACGAAGAATTGTTGAAACTCCAGGAGGATTTAAATCAAAAAATTTCATTTCGCCAAATGGATTACTCGGGAGTTTTGGGTTTCTTTTTTTGAATTTCCCGAGTACAAAAATCTGGCAGAAAAAGCCGTTGCTCTCCTGGTACAGATGCCTACGACTTATTTGTGTGAATAAGGGGTTTACAGTCTTGTTGAAATCAAGTCGAAAAAGCTAAACTTTATATTGATTCACTAATGCGGGGAGCAATTAAAAGGGACTAAAATCCTGTTATGGACGAATTGCTGAAACTATACAAGAACAAAGAAGCCACTGAAACTAAATTAACGTCGTCTTTACATTTTTTACACATTTGGGTGTTTAAATTAATTGCATCTGTGAGTAAAAACTAAAAGAAGCATTTATAATGACTCGCCCCGCCATCTTGATTTTAGTTTTTTCAATATGTGGCTAAAATTTAATGTTCATTTTAGCTTGAAATAAACATTGGTATTTGTAAGGTATACGAAGTTCTCGAAAAAATGTAAAAGGTATACCACGGTAAAAAAGGTTGAAGAACACTGCACTAAGACGACATTCCACGCGGTCAACACAACGACAAGCGACGTGCATGGTTATTGGTTACCGATACCATAAAAATAATACACGTGACTGGCATATCAGAATTGTGATGTAACAATGAGCTCAAGACAGTTCTTTCCGTGAATGAAATTTATATTTTCATTATTTTTTAAAATACCAGAGTTTAGAAGCTAAATTGAAACATTGGGAAAGCTGAAAATTCGTCCTTCTCCTCTTAGATTGCCCTTGCATTGACGACCTTGTCGCGACCCATTTTTAAACCTTCCGCGACCCATGTTTGGGTCGCGACCCATACTTTAAGAACCACTGTTATAGTGCCAAAGACATTATATAGGCCATAAATACTAAGGAAGTGAGAGTGGAAGAAGAGGAAGTGTCGTGTCAATGAATAATTCTGTGAATGTACTATGGCAAGCCATTCTATTCTGTACTGACAAATATAAGCTGATTGTCTATAGCATGGTTTATCTATATTCGTCCCTAAAATCTCTCCTTCCAATTTCCCCAATGGAATGTATTGTGAATGTGGATGACATCACTTGCCAATTCAAATGGTATCGGTTTATTAGACCTAAACAATGTTGGTTTGTATATGAACTATTAGAATAAAAATTTTAACGAGAGGGTAGAAGCTTTGCCTTTCTTGGAGGAAGGAAACTATTAAGGAAATAGCCAGTTGCATTCATGAAATTAATAATAGAAAACTACTATGGGAGTTATATAGCATGAATGGACAAATTATTTTTGTTCAATATAGGGCAGTGGTTACCAACCTTTTATGGCTCTTGGACCCCTATTGGAGCCTTTTAAAACTCATGGCTATCCCAGTTTATCATTCCAGTGGTATTTATTAAAGTGTTATATTGAAAGGTAGATTCCAAATCCCATTATGTTCAAACAATTCATGCTCAACAAAATTTGAAAACACCCAGTGAAATAACCTTATCAGGTGATGGAACTAGGAAGGATTTTTTTAAATAAAAATGAAATCAGTTTTGCGCAGCCCCTTTGAGGGGCTGTGTCTCCCCGGTTGGGAACTGCTGATATAGGGTGTTTCATAATCATTTGCCTCAGGGTGAGCCTAGGGGAAGGTCATTGGGGCAGCCGATCCGAGCTGTAGAGTTTGCGTTATCACACATGCTTTATTACAAGTTTTCATGAATTAATTTATTTAATTACGCCACGTTTATTAATACCAAAATCGGCCATTGCAAGTAAAGGAATAAACGCGTTAAGGCCAAATATTTAAACAAATTACAGTTAATTAAATTAATATAGACATCGCAAATGGTTGAAAATCTTTGCATGTGGACCCAGACAACCGCTTTCATATTATGTGATTTGTTGAATATTTACACTTGTACAGATCATTAGGACCTGACACGATCACTCCACCCACCAAGGATGGCCGAAACCGTATAATTTTGTATTTCGATTACATTATACATGTATACTAAAAAGGCTATTGAATATATTTTGAAATGGTTTGTTCCACAAGAGAAATTAATCAAGACAGTTGTAAATTCATAGAAATATATTTGGAGATGCAGAATAATTTAATAATTGAGATAAACATTGTCTCAATTACCGGTAGTATTTGTCTACTAATTTTTTGTCCATCTTAAAATAATAAATGCTCAAAACGCCATTTTCAAACAAAAATATCATACAAAAATATTTCAAACAAAAATATTATTCTGAAAAATGAAGAATTTATAAAATCCGATATAATCAATTTAGAAATTAGAATATATTCGAAATTCGATTTGGACAATCCTTCCTGACACATCCTAATACCATGTCCATTGGGACCATTAAGCAAAGTAATAGAGTTTAGTTTCAGATCATTTAGCTTGAGATCATTGGGATAATTGTCAATACTCAATGTTGTTCAATACATGATTCGTCACTGTAAAATTGAATAATCAAAATCTCTAGGGTCCATTAAGCAATTGATCTAGGTAGAATTTGTCCCAAGAGACCGTTCTAAGCAGAAAATATTGACATTTTCCCTGTTCAGGAATTAGCGAATTATCTTTGAAATATACCGACAAATCCACTTGAATTTAAACAAAATACCATAGATATTTTAGTACTTTCGAAGTAAGTGAACCAAGATTACGAACACCGGAACGTAGTGAGTGTACCAGGTTAGGGTTAGGCCATAATTTTATTCCAATTATCCTTATTTAGTTCTATTACGAGTTCGGGGACTAGCCAAGTGACTCTCGTAGTATTTGTACCTGAAATTATGGCCCAACCCTAACCTGGTACACATACTATGTTCTGGTGTCCGCCATCTTGGTTCACATACTTACCTCAGGAGTACCGATGTTTTTATCATTTACATACTTCGGGACTCTGTGGAGTACTAGTAATTCTACGGTATTTTATAAAAAGTTAATACAAATGGACATATAAAAAAGAAATCATTAGACTCACTTTGAAAGTTGTATGTCACTCATATGTTTCTCGTGATGCATTACATTTTCTGACCACGGAATATTCAAAAACTTGAAAATGCGCTTTGTTTCTGAAAGAGGTTGAAGAACTAACTTTTCATAATGAACGGGAAGACAATACTTAGTTCCGACTTGCTGACATTGCCCATTTATAAGTTCCATTGCTTTGTTCCATTTTGTCAATACATCCCTGAATTACAAGAAAAAATGTAACCATTTAAATACAAGGCACTGATGAAGAAATATGTATTGTGTTCAACTGCCTTGTTTACCTGGAACTGATTTTAAAAAAATAACTGCATGCCAAATTGTATATTGCAAAATTTAACTTCATTTGACTATTATTTTGTTCCATAAGCCAATATTCAGAAATTGAAAATTATTTAGCTAATTCCAATTCTTGATGATTTTTTTAAACCGCTGCCAAAAAGATTCCATTATCATTGATTAACTTAATTGCAAATATATATTCTAGAATTGGAACTTCCCCATTGCAGGAATGAAAAATAACATAAATCACTATTTCTTCGTGTCGGTCATGTATAAAACGACACAAATATAAAGGTTATCGTCATTGGTTTTTCTGTGTTGTTTGTTACGTGTTGTGATATTTATGTTTTGATCTGCTTGCCTGACGACTTGGAATTCTTAATTTTTTAATAAAAATGTTCTTCGATTATCAGACTGAAAGTCACGCTTCCCAAATTTAATTCCAAATTTATATTCAAAATATTTTTTATATTGAATATAATGAAATTTGAATATTCTATCAGTTTTGGACATCTCTTGGGAGAATATGCAGTCAGTTGAGTTTTATAATGACATTTTTTTTTATAAAGTTCTATATTTTTGTGAACAAAACTTGAATGCAAGCTAATTTCTGAACCTTTATAAGCAGACTGCCTAAAATGAAAATGATTTTTTAAATGAAATTGACTTGAATAAAGTTCATCAAACATTCTATTTCCACGGCACATCTCAAATTTTGTGTGACTCACCAAATCACCAATACTATTACAAATTTCTATACCGGAATTTATTTATGTAATATATTCGAAATAAAAAATTTGAGTTTTTTTTGGAAACAACTGGCGCATTGAATAGTCTTATTATATTGATCCGCCAATTTTGAAGATTTTGAATTTTGAAGAACAATTACAACCTAATAATAATATAATACGCTGAATATAAAATATTCCAGGAACACTCACCGGTAATATAATATTAAATACTGAATAAATTATGAATCAGCACGGATGCAAAAAATTTCCATAAAAATGTATCATTGATGAAACGAATAATGCCTCGATCGTCATTTGTCACTTTACCACTATTCGAGTAAAAAATATTTTAGAAATGCCTGATGCAAATTTGGATAATAAAGACACATTTTAACAAAAATATTTAGAGATATATTGTATATTTATATAACACCATCAAAATGAAGTTCTCATGCCTTGAGATATCATTCTTTTCATAACACTTGTTAAAAGGTATATTTAGCTTGTCCATGTCAAAAAGTTTATTAAGATAAGACGACCGTTACAATACAACATAACAGATTCTTATCAGGAGGAAAGGTTAAATCCATTAGACTATATTTATCACCAAGAATATATTGTTTGTGTATTTATTTTTCGTATTTATATGCTTTGCACCTTGAACAAGGGGCAGCACAAGCAGTCATTGGTAGGTAAAATATTCTTCTAAAGTTATCGGAATCCTTTTTTCATCCACTGATTTACATATTTATCACGGGGGAAAGAACAGCCGATAAATATGATGGTTTAATCATATTGCGAACCACGGCCTCTCGTCCTGTTACCAGTTTAATTGGGTTTGGGATTAGCTAGCCAGTTATTTGCTTTTACAAGGACATTGTGAAGAAGAACAATTCTTCTAACCAACCAGCGGTTACATGATCACCCTACGGCGGCAAGTAGGGACTCTCGCACATAAATTCCCCCACATGAGATTTGAACCTGGGAACGCACGCGGGGTAATCAGAAGTACGATGGCAAGCGTATTCCCAACGCTTAACGCCAAACACTGGGCATTGCCCCCCCAATTTATCATGAGGTGCCCAGGTTGAGGTGGTACGAGAAACTAATAGCCTATAGTTTAAAAAAATCAAAATCTTTCTCGTTCAACAACACCTACACTCTGGGTGAGGTGGGGCACGGGATTTTAACCCGAGATAATAACCTGTGATGCAGAAGTATTGATATTTTATAAAAAAAATTCTATTCTGAGAAATTAAAAAATTTTCCTCTCTCACCTGTAACTTGTAATGTCGAAACCAGCTATCGTTACTTTTCTACTAATAATTGAATGCGCAGTTGCTCGTCCATCTCGTAACATCAATAGAAATTTGGCATTTGGAAAGAGTTCATGCAGATATCTAAAAATATAAAAAAATGTTCGATATGAAAATATTTTCACCAAAGGTCAGTACACAAACGCGGTCCGTTCATTCCAAATAAAGAAATAATTCAAAACATATTCGAAACTTATTTCAACTATACAAACAAAAGTCAAATGCATCGTTTGGCAAAATACAAGAGCACATCTCAATATCAGGAAATGGTAACGTTGTGACAACTTAGTGGTTAAGCTGCGTGTCGACTTTGTTGAAAATATGTGAAATATTCAGCCGCATAGCCGCCGTAAGAAATTTGAAAAAAATGTTATTCATACATATATAAATTACCATATATATATATTCTTGAATCATTTTTAAAACTGAAAATTTGGAATATATTAGCTGCGCAGAAAGGCAATTTTTTTCAATCTTTTTGTTCTAGGTAGTGAGAGTATACTGTAGAACTGTTGAGCTTTTGTTAAATGGAGTTATTTGATCTACCGGTATATATAATTAAATTCCGAAAATACAATTTAAAACTTAAAAATAGCACGAAAAGCCACATAACAAATTGTTTACCACCATGCCGAAAATATGTGGAAAAATGTCTCTAAGTCGCTGCTAAATTTCAGTTTTTACACCACCATCGACAGCTTGCTGACATACTAGGAAAGTAAACAAGTAAGCCGATTCACAATGAGACATATAATTGATATGATATTCACAAATTGTTTCCAGTGATTTAGCGAAAAACGCGTTATATCACAACTATCAAATAAAAAATATGCTTTTCAAATCAAGAAGCAGCCGTGGTCCTAATTTAATACTCAAAAGGTCCGTATTCGGACCGATGTCCGCCAGTTGAGTAGCCCTGTCCTAGATTAATTTACTGAAACTTTTGTGTACAATCATACACAAACAGAAGTTCAAGTGCTGAATAAATTTCCCTCATTTTCATAGAATTGAGAAATTTATGGATTCTGCTTGGGTCACCCTATTCCCAAAAATAACTCTGACTGGTTGTAGTCTAGATTTGTAGTTTTATTAATTATTTAATTTTGACCATCCCTAAAGCACACTTTTATTTCCTCATCAAAAATGGTTTTTTAGCTCAAACATTTGCCACTTATGCTAAAACAAAAAATTTTCATTCAACCTAATTTTTATTTTATTAAAGAGTATATCAGTTTCCAATCAGGTCTGTCTGAAATCCCCTTTTTCAGGCAAAAAAGGAAAATATTTAAAACTATGCTCAAAATGTTACATATAACAATGACACAAAAATTGTAAAACTAAAAATGACTATTTCATGAATAAAAAAAAAGTCGTAGGGATGAATGATTTCACCATTTATCTAAGAAAATTCAAAAATTCCAAGTCTATGCAATTTACTAAATAAAAATCATAATTGTAATTTGTAATGAATTTTTTAAATTGTGCGAAATTAATACAGCATCCATAGGCTCAACAATGTATCCCAAATCAGTAACAGGCTGTCGGAGTTGTTTTATCGTCGAGGATTATATTTCACTGCGTCATGCAGTCAACTAACAATGGCAATTATTAGCAATGGCAAGCGTGATCTTACAATCTCTAAAAAGTCATTTGAACTTTCCCTGCTCTTTACAATAAAAATAAATATGAGCATTTATAAAGCCAATAAATAATAAATGTAGCGAAAACAAAAGCAAAGAATGTGCGTCACAGAATCAAATATCAAACCACAACTAATAGGTCTGTATTGCTGCATAACTATGTTTGATTGACTAATAAAAGGCAATAAAAAGAGACGGAAAAGGTGTCCTTTTTAGTAACCCTTTAGTGATATAATTCACCAGATTATAAATTTTTTTTTATAAAATAATGCTTGTTCTTTTTTTGCTCTGAACAAGTTCCTATAACAGCAGTCAATGATATATAACACTGTAATCTGCAATGCCACCAGATGCCAGGCCATCGTTGGACAGTATACCAGTGCAACGGTATCAAAAAAGACTTCAAATCTCAAACCATTGTTTTTCTAATTAATTTTACCTAATAACCGTGATAAACCTTAGTCTTTTCATTACATAATCATCATTGTATCAAAATGTAAATGGTAAATAGAATTTGTTGTAATATTTCATTGTAATAACTGTGAAGAGAATGGCGGTTCTATAAAATAAAAGAAGTTTTCCATGACCACGGATCCCTATGCAGTTTGGTGATTTGAATCTTACTTTACAACAACTTACAGACAGTCTGCCATGATAAGAAGTGTTTACTGTCTCAGCTGTATCTGGATTTCATCAAAATATAACAGTATTTTCTCCATAGGATGGAAATCGTAAACTGACACAAAGTGGAAAAATTCGGACCAGTTTTAATTAAGACAGTAAATTGAAAATTTTAATTTCATTCTTAAACTGTCATTCTGAGCAAGTATTTTGGTCTCTAAGTTTTTTTCCAAGAACCTACATTATGTATAGTTCACTTCATTGCTGTTTCCTGCTCATATTGACATGAATTGCTTTAATTCTCACATTGATCGGTATTTACCAATGAACAATTCAACACTATAATTTTTAATATTAGTCCCTGTAGCTCCCAGTATTTTAGCAGTCACCCATAACTAAGCACGGATATTCATCCCTTTAATATTTCCTAATTGAGTTTGTGTGATCTTACTTTCCGCAAACCTAACCAGAGAAGATGTATCTTTCCCTATAACTGTCCCAGCTAAACATTGATGTTACATTTAAAATTTGCTCTCTTTACATACTATCGCGGCATAGGCAGTTGGAATGTAAACGACCTTACCAATGACAGTACAATATGTGAACGATGGTTACCACATATGGGAGCCTATTCTTGGAAAGAACTCAATCAATTCTAGGACTTTTATTCGCTTATAAGTTATTTAAAATGGGTTTGTATTGATTTCTTCAAAATTTCACATAGAATACAAGAAACGCTGAACACATATCTGGAATATTAAAACTTCAAAACCACTGAAAAATAGAACCATACAATGAAAGTTGTACCCTGTTTTACACCACACAAACCAGAAAACTCAACCCCAGGAAATACCCTCCCCCCATTTTCACAAAACCAAAATAATAACAAAAATGGGGGCTCTCGAAGTATGCGAACCAAGATGGCGGACATCGGAATGTAATATGTGTACTAGGTTAGGGTTAGGCCATAATTTTAGGTATAAATACTACGGGAGGCTCTTGGCTAGTCTTCGAACTGATAATAGGACTAAAATAAGAAAAAATTGGAAAAAAATTATCGCCTAACCCTAACCTGTTACCCATGTTACGTTTCGATGTCCGCCATCTTGGTTCGCATACTTCGGGAGCACACAAAAATGTATGTGATTTTTCTTCAGTTGTAAGGTGTGTGTAACCAATTAGAAAATAATAATTAGAAGCAAAAGTTACAGTGTTGTTGGTTTAGTTATTCAGTATATCTTGAAATACGTTGTATCGGATTTCAGATCTTCAAAATAAGGTTATTGTATACCTCATCTTAAAAACCTAGAAAATGCAAACTTGACATCTTAAGGATGATGAATGGAATAATTCCTACAAAATTGGAAATAAAACTATCATTTGTGTAACAATTTTATTTATCACCAATGTGATGAATGGCTGGTTTTATAAAAACTACTTTTATCAAATAAATCATCTCAAAAACAAATTTATGCGACATGCTAATCAATGGATTAAATTAAGATTATCATATTCTAGACTGATATCCCCCAAAACCTAATCTCTATCAGAAAAATCGAAGCTTTAACTTAATTATTGATTAAATAGAAGGATTATCGTGATCTAACATATGTTGAATTTATATCCTATTTATTGAAATCTCAATATCTAATTAAAAGATATTCAATATTGTTGTAGTCATTGTAGCGTTTCATGTATCATAATCAATGCACGACCCAAACTCAGAATCACAGACTACAAAAAGTAAGGCAGAGCAAGCCAGAAGGTTCGATCAAAATCTGCTTGGATGACGATTGCAAGTGATATGGCTGAGTGACCATATAGTGGTTTTGTTCAACGACGATTGTGCGTAGATTCGAAGAGAATGTATCTGACCGTGTCCGTGTGTCAAGTATTCACAAGATATTTCACTATTGCATTTTTGAGACACGCCGTTATGTGCTCGGAAAATCTTGCATTTTACGAAGTTAAGCGAATAGCCCCCTAGTCTATGAGCAAAGTTACAGGCGATCACTGGAACTCTCGCTGAATTTACAGAATTATGGAAATGGAAGTACATTATGTGATAGTAAATACAGATTGGCACAAGACTTGAAATAGCTGTCAAAGCGATCAAGATTATTGATTAAAGTCCCTCTCACACTATTTTGTAAAAGTCAACAGCACCATCCAATAATCAATCAATCAATTAAATAAAGATTTTTTCAAATGATAAAAGCAAATACCAAGAGAGGAATTCTTAGTTAGACTACTGCGTTATTGGCAAATTTTATTTGACCTGAATGATATTGTTTAATTTGAAAAAAAAAAGAAAACACACATAACTGATAAATAAAAGTTCATTTAGTTGTTACAAATATCTGATTAACAATCCCTATCAATGGCGTCGTATAAATGAGTAAGCCATCTTTTTGGCTTCGTGCTCTCTCCAGGAAATATGTGAAATGCCTAACCTACTAATAGGAGGTCCTATGTCAAGCTATATAAGATAAGCAGTAGATCGAATTCTACTTTTTCTAATATTATTTGACAAGTTTCACAAGAGCATGAATAATATATAAAAAATCCATTACTTGAAGACAGTAACTCAGAATTTAGATTCAAAATATAAACGATAGATACCTATCTGATTAGATATCAAATCTTACGTGTCGCTTGATAACCAGCACTGGTCACAACTTCCCTTACCTAGTAAGTAAAACTATGCAATTTTCAAGTTGCTTCTTGCTGGAAAAACTAAGTGTAGCTTGATATTTTTGAATATCGAATAGGCGTATTTTCTTATTGTGTCATATTTAACGAAAAAATTGACAAAAATCGTAAATTTGAAGAAATTGTATTTGGTAATGAAGAATAATGTAAATAAAATTTTCTATTTTTACAGAGCCAAAATTTAATTTACCTGGTATTCATTATCAATGACGCTATGTCTAAAATATATTCGAAAGCAAAATGATCGAATACCAAACATTGAAGTTGAAATTATTTAAAAAAAAATTTTTTTTTCAATATCCATTAAAATGAATATGAATGGGCACAAAAGCATGACTTTAAATGATTATAACAAATTCAAGTTTTCTTTCAATATTCATTAAAATAAATATGGATGGGCGTAAAAGCTTAATTAAATTATTGATACTTTTATTAACAAATAAAAAAATCTCACGTTGTGGCTTTTAAGGTAAAAGGATCCTTGTTACAATAATGTTTGGCAGGCTCTCCATGATTTAATATTATTTCCAGAATAAATTGACTGACGGCCTCATCTAATACACCAGGCAATACACCTGCCTCTTCCAGCCTTTTTTTCTCTTTGGAAGACCTAGAAAATTCAAATTTTCATTTATTTGCCATTATTGATACATAACTGCAAAGCATGAAAATTATAGCAGGCCTTCTTAAATAAGGGTTAACACTTTTTCCCGCAAAAAACTCCTGTAACCCCTGATATAGGAATCTACGCTTATTTTTTAGTTAGATTTATATTCTGAATATCCTATACAAATTAAGCTTAAACTCTTTCTTAAACTTAGCCTACGAAACCGTCCCAATACCAGTATGGGTGTCAGTCATGTCACTGATACAATTTGTATAATTAAACCAGTTTAGTAGCTTTGAAGATTACCGGTACATAAATTCGTTGAATCAATAAAAAAATCGTCAAAAACTTCATTATTCCAAAAAATTCCCATTTGGTATAATATATTATTAGCACAATATCATTTATATACAAAGCTATCAGATACTTTCAATTAATTCCACTATTTACGAGATTACTTTAAATAAAAATAAAATAGGATTTAGCGTTTTGGATTCGATTTACTTTAGGGTAGCAAATTATTATGAATTGTCCATCCCTATCAGTAACGTCAGATTAATAGATCCAAAGTATCTTGAAATGGAAGCTTTCCTGAACATAAAGTTGCGAACTTGGTACAGTCATACTCACATTAAATCAATACCTATAACATACCTTATCCAGTTATTCCTCATAAACAAAAGTCTTGGTATAACCCTGGTTTCTTGTCCACATCTGATATCGTCATGAGCGTCAAGCATCGTTCGCATTAAAGTTGTTCCACTGCGTGGCATTCCTCCAATGAAAATAACAGGGAGTTCTCGACTGTTGGCATGAGAAGTCTAAATATTGCATACACAGTAAAATAGTCTAAAATGGCTGAAATTCTCAAAGTTTAAAAAAACATATATTAGATTATTTAAATCACGGCCCTTCAAACTGCGTAAAATTTTTTTCAACACAACCTTATATTGAAAAAAAATATCGATCAAATTTGGAACTAGTACTGATACCCACCATTACAAAAATAGAGTCAAAATTCGATATTTTGTGCAAAATATGTATTGTCCATATTGTCCATTTTATTATTTTTTTAGTATTTTCTACGACCCTACTTACCGTAATTTCCTTCTAGTTCCTAGGGGGCATAAACAAATTTGGCCACAAACCAATTTACATTAATTATATGAGGAAGAATTTACACGAATAAAAATCATTTTAGTATAAGGATAAGATATCATTTTTATCCTGGGGTAGAGGTAGAGGAAAGATGATGATGACTTGATCATATGACGAAACATGGCCAAACGGGTACCAAATTAGTTAGCCAGTTATTTGCTGCATGGACGTGATTGTGGAGAAAGTCATACCTGATCAGCTGTTACACGAGGAGTCCAGCAATCCTCTCGCACATAAAAATTCCTACAGGATTTAAACCCATGCAGGGTAATCAAATCAACTTATTTTAATTTCAAATCAATCTAATATACTTTGTTTACAATACAAAAATCGACCAATTCATTCTATAAGTGATCGATCCTCAAAAAGTTAACATATAATTTATCTCTTTGTACAGATTTGGCAAAAAACAGAAAAAATACAAACCTTTTGATCTGGATTATAATGATATTCTTGAGCATTTTTAACCATCATAATATCTCTATTGATAAACGATGAGGATGAATCAGTATCTTTCGGATGTCCAGATGTATACAAATATGTCAGATAAATTGTGAAAATCCATAAGGCTAGGAACCATATTTTCCTCACTCCCGAAAAACCTGTTGTCCGCAGACCCATTGATATTAATCTTTATTATATACTATTTTTATCTACTTCTATTTGATTTTTTAACTAAATGCAGAAATGATATTATCATACTAATTACAGAATTAAAATCATCATGATGTCATGTTTGAAAATAGATTACATGGTTAGGAAGTCTATACTCAAAGTGACATCTACATACTGCAGTACTTTCTGCATATTACAGTTATTTTTTAAAACACAGAGCGGGAAGCTACAAACTGCACATATGAAGGCTACGAACTGCACATATGAAAGCTCAAACTGCACATATGAAGGCTACGAACTGCACATGTGAAGATTTGAAAGGACAACGGAATATATCAAATAGTCCTGGGTACAAGAGACACAGTTAAATGCTCAGAAACACCAGGAAACAGATGTATCTCCTCTAACAGGGAATCAGATTTGCCATAGGTTGTCGAAAAAAATCTAGTTAAAAAAACAATCTAATAATTGAACTATCACAAATGGGATTTATTTGTTATTATTATTATTTTTCAGTTCTTCTTCGCTTATTTGTCACCTTCTCACAATGATAGAAATTTCTTTTTCCAAGTACAGATAGTGTTCTCACAATGATAGAAATTTCAGATAGTGTTGAATCATGCATATTTTCTTTTCTAATGAACACATTGTGTCACCAAGAAAAAAAAATACTGCTCTTTTTCATGCTCCACAAGAATTATTCATTCATTCCCTGTTAATATTTATCAATCTTTTCATGGTTATGCTTTTCGTTATGCTCAGCTTAATTAAGTAGCATGATTAGTTTCCACAACTTTTTCACTTTTGTGAAAGCATTTTTTTTCCCCACTGTGTGATTAGTATTTGTTTTGATGCTTTCATTAGGTTTGTGGTCATGACTGCCATACTGGCTTCGCTCGCTCCGAAATTTTTTATGATTGTATGGAGACTTGTCAAATTTCGCAAGTGCCTGATTTTTCTCGATGTCAGTTGCCATATAAAACAACATAGGCTATAAAAGGCAAAGATTAAAATTATTATTGAAAATGATCTTGGCGGAAAATATGGCAAGTCCTATTGCCAAATCCGAAAAATCAGGCACTTGCTAATTTTGCCACAGACCAATCAGTGACAATTCTTTTTGTTTTTGACAATAAAAATACCAAATCAGTCATACAAAATGTATAGAGTTGATTTTGTTATTTGAAAGTATTCCAAAACACTAAAAAAAAACTATTTTAGGAAGTTCCCTGAAATTTCACAAGTGCGATATTAAGCCTGATTTATTTTATTTTGCGCCAAGCGTTACCATATTTTATCATTCATAATCTAATTTTAAATCAATCTGAAAAATACGATGATTGACCATAATACAGTAATATGTTGCCAAATGGTATTGCTCATTGCATTATTCATGTTATTAAAAATGCTCAAATAAGCATGGACTTGATGGTGGAGGAAGTCGTGACCGACCAGCCTGCCAGCGGTTACGTGAACCACCCTATGGTGACCAGGAGTCCAGCAAAATTCTCGCACATACAGACATAACTATCCCCACATGGGATTCAAACCTGCAAACCCACGCAGAGTAATATGAGGTGCGGTAGCAAGCGTATTCCTAGCTCTTAGCACAATGAGCCACACCGACACCACCGCCGGTGGTCCTTACAGCAGTACCTGTACGGTATATCATTAACTAAGACTCCTGCTCATGTTTATAGTGTTTAATAAAACTGTAAAGGAGTTGACAAAGGCATCACAGCTGTACTGATTCATGCCAAAAAAAAAAATATTTCGTCCACAGTTTTGAAAAAAACTAAAAAAAAAAATTGTTAACAGAAACATTACTCTGTTATCGGTTCTGCATTACAAGTCTTATTAATTACCTGTCAGCCTGATGTGGACGTCTAATTTGGACGTCTGCCAATGACATTGATTCCACTTAGCCTAGTCCTTCCCCCATTCAGGGATTTCGGGTCTTACTACTCACTGAATAGAGTGCGAAACAGTGCAGAAGAGATGGAAACATTTTTTTTTCCTTATTTATCAGCGTCCGTGAAATTTTAAACAATTTGATGGGAAACAGTATACAGTGGTAGGAAATGATCACGAGTTTATAGGCTATCAGTAATCTTCAACATCTTTAAATAATCCAACATTACGCACCCTAACGTGGTACACATACTGTGTTCATGTTGTGCGCCATCTTGGTGCACATACTTCTGGAGCTCCAAAATTTCTTTGATTTTGCTTATTGGTGTGCTCATATTCAGATTCAGATATTTATTTTGTCTTGCATGAAATATTGTACACACAAAATTAAACAAACATAATAATAATACTGTAATAAGAAAAATGTTTCCCTCTCTTCTGCCGCTGTTTCGCGCTCTATTCAGTAAGTAGTAAGACCGAGGCATTCTCACAGGACGTCAGACTTCGATCATAACCGGTACCAAACCATTCTGTCATTTAACATCCGGCTTCTGGAAATTCAAATTTCGAATCACTATCAATAAAAACAGCCATCCCTAGGATTACCGTACCATATTTTGGTGGCTTCAGAGCGGGACGCCTCCAAAGACTAAGACCCGTTAGCTGTGATTTTTTCTACTTCACATTTTCCGATTTTACCACATACCTAGGCCTACATTTAAAGTCATCCCTGTTGTCTTCATTAACCATATTATTCATTAAACGATAGTTCATGCGCATATTCTCTGTCTAAATATCGGTTTCATTTCAGTTTGAAAATAGCAAGGAATTGACGTTAGCGATACAAAATAATTTGAATTTAGATTTTTTATGTACAGATGTAGGCTACAGCAAAAAGAAGAAAGAATAACAAAATTGCCTGCCGCTTTCAAGCAATGAGAATTTATTTATTCACCCAATCATACTTTTCTGTGGATACCGTAACGCCTTCTTCAAAAAAAACGTTGTTCAATGTTACATTCTCGCGTAGGACTTTCACGTTCTACTGACCAGCACCCTCTTGACGTACAGGGCTTACACGTAACAAATTGTACCAATTAAAATTAACCAAACAAACAAAACCACCTTCAGTAAGGATGCCTTGGAACTTCGGATGAAATTTTCAATCATTCATATCTCAACTAAATTTCGTCGTATTGCGCTTCTGTCGGTTTCTATAGTAAGGCCTTACATATCTGAATCTGCCGTAGCCTCCAATCGCTCGATTTGATTTTTTATCATTCAAAAAATCATATTTTACCAAAAAAATGACACCGTTTTTTCGAGCGGCTCAAATCGTGACTTCTACAGACGCTACCTTCGTCAAATCACCGCCAAGCGCTAGAGAGCGAACACAATGTATACAAAAAAATACAGTGATCACAAGGTGTCGTACGAGATTCGAGTGAAATCGATTATTTTGATTTAAAAATTACATCAAAATATCGACGTTTTGATGATTACGTACAGCGTTACGTCAACGACGCAAATCCCGTTCTCTCTCTTCGTAGCCGACGTCACTTTGCGTAGCTCGTGCGTTACTCGCTGCGACATTTGAACGCCAGACATCGCGGCGCCCAATTTTGTGAAATTTAAAAATTATGCTTATCCATGATCCTAGTCACTAAATCCTACAAAAACATCACTATCGTCTCAGTCATATGTTGTTTATTCAAAAATATGGGTATGCATACGCTTAATGCATATGAAATTTGTCGATTTTTGTTTTTGCATACTTCCTCCGACACCGATAGATACCGTAGCAATTGGTAATACGTTAGGCTTGAAACATGTATCTATACGATCATAATGATTAGATATGTCTGTTTACGATCAGCAGATGATAATAATATCTTTAACAGGTGAGCGTAGAACTCTACATACATGCACACAGCAGGAGGTTGGACCACATACAGGTGAGGCGCAAAATGAAAAAAAGTGGCAAAGTTTCTTTTTGCCGTTTTTATCCGTTTATTGTCATTTGACTTTATTAAGTGAAACGAAAGCGAGGATCGAAAGTCACACCGGGCAGGAACCTCTGCCGAGCCGATCAACGGGGAGCTCTGAGAAAATCAGAAAATATGAAAAGTGATAATCAAGACGAAACCTGCTCTGCTTGTGGATTATGGAATGATCCAAATGGAAGTACGGAAATTGAGGATGAATGGGTCGGTTGCGAAAGCTGCAGCGAAACACATTGGTCCCACAAGAACTGTTGCAAAGACCCGTCTAACCCATGTGGAAATGATTACAATTCTTGATTTTGCCAGCGTTTCCTTCAATTCATCTGTTTATTTTTAAATGTCGATTTTTTGTTTATACCTTACTTGTTCCATATTGCTTTTTGATTTCAATTTTTACTTTTGCCAGTGTTTCATTCGATTCATCCGTTTATTTTTAATTGTCTAATTTTTGTTCATTCTTTACTTGTTCCATATTGCATTTCAATTTCAACCTACACCAGTGTTAGGTACTTTCAATTCTTCCGTTTTTTTTTTTTGTTAATCCTTTTCTTGCATTGAAAATAAACGATCATAAAAGAACGAACTAGCATTTTGCAATAAATTAGGAGTAGTTAGTGAAATATATACGAGTTATAATAAAGGACACAAGAATAAATAGTTAAGCTTCGCGAAGCGGCAAGAGTAACGTCACGTACAAACGTCAGTATTCAACACGCAAGACAGGTCGTGGCGGCGTAAGGTCTATTCAGCGACGTTGTCACGCGTCATTGCTTACGCAGACATTTCTCTCTCACGACGAGTTGACGCAAAGAGAAAAGTGGCCATCCGAAGTTAGATAATTTTAGAATAGACGAATAAAGACAATAATTTCAATGAAAAAAGGCTTTGATGGATATGGAACCGACTTTATCAAGACGAGAATAGCCACAATGTATTATATTCCAAATTTGGCTTCAGTTGAACAACATGCGGCGGAGATATTGTTCAAAATATAGTGAAATCATCCGAAGTTAGCCGGTTTTACGGTACCGGTACCGGTACCAGTATACGGGACCTAGGCTTCCCGCACGCTACACAGCAACAACAGTAACGAGAACAATAACATGCTAGTTGGTACCGGTAATGTTCGTGTATTATGCCGGCTTAACGCCAAAGCGGGACTTTTGGCTGA